CAACTGGAACAACCCCAGCCAAAACAGATACTGTTCACATCAGTTCCATTTAGAAAAGCAAAGCAAACCAACACAGCTATCTGTCTGGCCCTGATGAGATGCAGACTGCGACCGTCGGAGTAACTGCTCTGGGTGAGATGACGCAGCGATAGGGACCATTGGTTTTGAGCAAGCAGGACGGCATGTTCCCAACTCCTGTCACCAGTTCAGGGCTTTCTTTGAACCATCAGCAATAGGGGAGAGATGTTTATAGGAGGAGATGTTGAAAAAGTTTCATGGAAGTCACTTGGGAACGAGGAGGAGCTGTTTGGCACTGGCCTGAAATGAGCAGTAGCACCGAGGTCTTATCAACGCCCGCCTCGCACCAGGCAACCAGACCAAGCAAGAGAGCCCTGCTAGCAGCTCTGGAGATGCTGGCCACCTGGAGCATGAGATTGCAGTGCTGGATGGAGAAAAAAAGGCACATGTGCTTCTTCAAGTGGTGAATTTTCACTTCCCTGAGCCAGTCCTAAACTGGTCAGGATGAGATTCAACAGAAGGTCCTGGTGGCTGTGGGGTGCACGCAGGCTGAGTTTAAGCATGATGTTATTTTCTGGTTTAGGCTGGGAAAGGGGGATGTGGGCGCACGCAGGCTGAGTTTAAGCATGATGTTGTTTTCTGCTTTAGGCTGGGAAAAGGGGATGTGGCCGTGGGGAATGGCACCATTCGGAGCCAGCTCATGCGGGGAAGGCTCCTCAGCATCCCCCGGGGGACCACCAGCCCCTGGCACCCACAGCGGGTGCCCGACCCCAGCGGGCACTGCAGCACAGCCTCCCCCAAAGGGTGCCTGTCCTGGGCTGTGAATATTTTTAATTTCCAGAATGCGGGCAGACCACACTCCTTATCTAACCTAGCTGGGGACAATCTGCTTTTCCAGAAAAACATCCAAGCCCTGCCTCCAAGCTGCTGGCCACCAGGACACCTCGAGCTGCCAGAGATGCGATGATGGGTGACACCATCCAAGCACCGAGCAGCAGATGTTACTGGCTGCCACCACCCTCCCCACCATTTTCCCTGGAATGGAGCTCCCCGGCAGCGGGAACAAATCCCTCCAAGCGGGGTCATTCTCCGCATCAGTCCTGAGCCTCCATCCACCTCCCTGTCCCTGGTGAGAGCCTTCCTCCAGCTGCCCCACACCACTGCAAGCTGCCGTGGCAATGCTCAATGGGGAAGAAGAAGAGATGCTGCCAGCCAAATGAAAGCCTCCACCCCACTTTACCAGGCTTTTCCCTCCTTTTAGGCAGTGCTACCCACCCCCCCCAATCCTCTTCTCCCACTCAAAGGCAAGGCTTTCTCCAAATCCTCTCTCTCCTTGCAAATCTTAGCCCCATGCTGCGGTGCAGTGAGCTCTGTGCTTTCCAGGCACACT